CATTCGATGTGATATGAGTTTATGACACTTGGAGTTACTCCCAGTCTCTGCCTCTAAGGGGAAACTTGTCACATGGCTGTAGTCAATTAACATGGGTGGGAATATCCCCTTGCAGTCTTATTCCACAAACAGCAAAGAGTGAAAGCACTGACCAAAGCATTACGAGGATGGTCACTGCAATAATTCCGTTGCAATTTCCGCTTGATGCCAACAGCAGGAATACAAGTAACACAATGTTGACAATTGCTTGCATAGGATAGTCCTCGAAAGCAAAGGCCGCGATCACCGACTGTTTCATACAGATTGACGAGACCAGCAAAGGATATTAATAGATACGAAGACTTACGGCTGGGAACGCGTGTCTCGATGCATTGTAAACGACCAGCCAATCCGAGATAAGCAAATGTCCTGGAATGGAGATTAATCCCAGGTCGTCGGGACTATCCATATGGCTTCAAGCCTCCCCATTGGACAAAGGATCCAAGTGCCGACAGCCGCGGCCCGCCCTGTCTTTGCTGCTGTCAGGGCAGCATTAGGGGCTTGGCTTCAAGACAGAGCCTCGCAGCTAAGCTTCTGCTCACTGCAACTTCAGCGGGGATGACCGATGCCCACCCCAGTATCAGCCATGATTGGCCAATCCCCTTCTAGAACGACCATGATCAAAATTCAATTACCCAAGACCGACTAGACTCCACTGTCTTGGTCGATTTGACCTCCCTTTTACCCATGCACCCACCCAATCGATTCAACGCCGCTTCTCACTTGGAATTTTGTCTCTCACCTCTAAACTTATTTCCTTCAGCCTCTTGTTGTTTCCGGCATTTGTGTCGTTCTCTTCTCTTTACCGCATATCGACTTGTCTAATTTGGAGTATCTCAAGCGTGTTGTCGTTCGAATGAAGGTGTCATCATCGTCCTCGTCATCCGCATCGCAATCTTCTCGTTTTAATCTTGACCTGAAGTCGCGTTGAATCTCTACCGCACAGAACATACCAAACAAACAAACTCGACTCGATCCCTTCCTCTCGAAAGAACGACAAAATGGAGCCAGGATTCGTGGGATGGGTGATGGAGCTTACGGCCTGGGTGGCCCCCTTTTTCATCGTCATGTCGCCCATCCTCTCTTACGCCGACCAAATCATCTCCATGTACCGAAATAAGACCAGTGCGGGCTTCTCGCTCGACATCCCTCTCATCATGCTTGTCGCGTCTTTCCTCAGGTTCGATCTCTTCTGTCGCGACACGATTAGCACGGAATATAGCTGACCCGCGCTTCCCGAAACAGAATCTTCTACTGGCCCCAAGCGCAATACGATACGAGTCTGCTCCTTCAGTCACTGCTGATGGTCATTGTCCAAATAGCTCTCCTGAAAGTCGCCCTGGACTACCGACCCCCACCACCTACCAAGGGTGGCGAGGCCGGTTTGCCATTTGCCGGTGCTGATGATGGTTTAATGGGCTTCCAGCGCCCTTATAACTTCTGGCAATGGCGATCCCCTCGACGGTAGGGTCTTGTCTTCATTTATATGTCAATTTGTTTGGTCTAACTGGTTATAGATACTGGCATGCTATTATGTATTTTGCGGCTGGTCTTGTGTTTTTGGAGCTTCTCCTTTCCCAGATGCCTGGATTGTACGCCGTATATGCGAACACCATCGGATGCATTGGACTCGGCGTGGAAGCGACTCTCCCTATCCCCCAGATCTTGGTCAATATGCGGTCAAAGTCATCTAAAGGCCTAAGATTATCGGTTCTGGCTGCTTGGATTGGCGGTGATACCATGAAGCTTTTCTGGTTCTTTACATCAAAATCCGGAATTCCTTGGTCGTTCAAGATTTCGGGTATGTTCCAGGCTTCGTGCGACTTCTTCCTTGGTTTCCAGTACTTGCTTTACAATAGACCCGAGGAACCAGCGCAAATCAAGGAACACCCCATGGTCGAGTGGGAAGCACCCAAGTCAACTACACGAAGTCATAGCCGGAGCCTTACCCCTACGCGACGACCTGCACCATTTGTTGGTGCCGAAGAGGCCAAATAAGCCGTTCAAGCCTATGATTATATAAATGATCTAATGACAGTGATGTTGGATCTTGATGCATACATCTGAATAGAAACCTGCTGGAGTGGAAAGTCGCCAAGAACGTCAGGATAAGAGAGGAGGCTCTTTGAAAGAGATGGGTAAGAAGCGATGCTAGCTTGAAATGGAGCTGAGGTTCAGAAAAGCCGAGTCCAAGAGCTGAGCGACCACAACAAGAAGACATTTTGAGTGACATTGCAATATCTTACTCGTCTTGAGCATTTCCCGTCATCTCAGAGGACCCCACAAATTACGCAAGCCCAGCGATAGCCGGGTCTCAGTTTTGGGCTGGGTCTTGCAGATCCTGGCTTGTTTTTGAAACAGGCACAAGGCAAAGTCCCACCACTTTCAGCTACAGGGCTACAGTGGCATCCCACCACCGTTATATTGTGATAGCGGAATACATGCCTGGGGTATCTATCAAACAGCTAAATGCCATCTTGAGTGGTATCATTGAAGAGATACAATAGAACATTGATTGATATGAATATATATAATATCATAGTCACTACTTTTATGTGTATATCTATCCAGTCTTGCTCTGTGTTGGTCTTGTATAGGCCAAGAATGCAGGTATCAGGATATCTCAGCCTCACTGCACCCACAACCGTGCCAATTGCCAGCCCCTTTTACTGAGGTTCTGCTACTCAACGTCAACTTATTCAAGATATAATCAATATTGACATTGTTTGCATTCTACCGACCGCAGACTCGCTCAATTACTGTATTGTTGAGCCATTCACATATTATTCTGGCTTGTCGAGTCCTCTGTGGTGCAACACTGCCGTAACAGTGGCATATATTGACTTGGCCACCGTTCTTATACAGAAAGGCCTTCGCAAGTCAACAAATGCCCAGATCAGCCGATCACTGAATTGCATTATTTTTCTGGGCTCTGTTCCTCAAAACTCAACTCCTTCAGCGAGCTTATACCTCTACCTCTAAGCTCCTTCACCCTCTTTTTCATTCGTCGCGGGTTGTGGTTGGTAGGTTGCCTCTCCATGGTTGTCGCATATATGGTTGGTCGCCCAGCAACTAACCAAAAATCGCAGGTTGATATCCATTATCCTCAACCACCATTCACCAAGCCTGGAAACAACTGCGCAACTCGTTTGAGTGGGCACCAAAATTTCCATCTTCTCGTAACTTGAGGACTTATTAAATTTGACTGTGAATCACAGTCAAAGCTTACTATATTCTTTTCCGCCTCTTTTCATCTTTACCCCAACTTCTTCACATTCACACTTCGCCTCGCAGCTCTATATTATATGCGTTTTCACCCATCTCAGTCACATCTTCGTTGCCCTTTAATTCCAGGTAAGCAGTGAAGTATTTACTTTTCAATCGTCACATCATAGTATAATTTTCTCATTTCATCTTATCCTCGCACTCGAGTCTCTATAGCTTCCTCTTCTCTTCTCATCCCAACCACATCATCATCATCGTATTGCAATAATCTTTCTTCTTTCCTCCAAAACTTCTCTCTGACTTGATAAACATTACCGGCACTCGAGTATTGGCTCACATTTCTCATTCTTAGCAAACAATCTACTGTTGATTCCTTGACCAAGGTCAGTTTCAACTTGGCTACACCAAGCACTATCCCATTCCTCAAGGAGATTTACCTTGATACGAGTTCTCAGACATACCATCGGCGCGACTCTTTAGCATTGTTGTTCACGTCGACTGATAGTTCTCAGACACGTTCCGCCGAAGCCATGGCACCCGCAAATGCCAAAGCCAACTACAAAACCTACGAGGCTCAGGCCCGTATGGTTCGCGCCATCGTAGCCGCCCATCCCGACGTCAAGTGGAACTACAAGGGTAAGAGGACGATTTCCTTATGTCTTGTCGCACTTGTTTCTAAAGGTCTCTTGTGGCCTTAAGCCCTTACTCTTTGTGTCCCCTCCCCATAATGCTGAGTCTGCAGGAGGAGGATTGACTCTTCCCCAGAAATCGCCGCTTGTTACGGCTCTGACATGACGGACCATGCTTTGAATCATCGATTCCGCAAGGTTCGGGCAACTGTCAGCATCATACATGCAGCCCGTGAGCAAGGTCTTGATGTCAAGGATTTGACCACCGACGAAAACCTCCTCCCTACCACACAGGGAGCTATTGACAAGAACAGTACGATTCCCCGCCTGATTGCCTTTTATTCAATATCGTTATCACGATTTCTTGTTATGAGCTTTCACTGACTCATTCTCCATAGATATCGCCAAATACTTTGGCCAATCTACCGCAGATGGCATCCAGTTTCAGTTTCGGACCATCAAGAAAGACGCCGAGGCTCTTCGTTATGCCGCTAACAACGGCGGCGATGTCGCCAACTGCCTCAGCCTTGGGACCGCGTCCGGGCTGCCCAACACTCCGTCCAAATCGACTCCCTCGCGCCAGCCTGGAAGTCGATCGGGCAAGGGATCAAAACGCAAGACTTCTTTTACCCCCTTGAATCCGATCAAGCGTTCTGGCTCAGAAGATGAAGACGACGATGAGCTCAACTTTGATGACATGGATCATACTCCCTCAAAGAAAGTCAAGACAACTGGCCGTACTCCTCGTGGCCCTACACCCTCTCGTACAGCTGCCAGGAAGGCCGCTGCTACTATCGCCGACGCTTCTGCGCAGTACAATGACAGCGAGTCTCCGTACGATGATGCCCCTACTCCAACCCCAGGTCCTACTTCGGCTCCTGTCGGTTTCACTGCTGCAGCGCTCCCTTCTTCTGCGCCTGTTGCTCCAACCTCCATCTTTGGCAACGTAGAGCGTAAGCCTCAGCCGTCCGTGGCCGAAAATTCTGGCCTTGACATGATCAACTCAGTTGGCTTTGGATATCCCGACATCTTCTCAGCCGCGGCAACCTACCGCGCTCCACCTCCCGATGACTCGTCCTACATGGAATGGGGCGACGGAGAGATCTGAACTCTTGATCTCGAATCGCGATCTCTGACTTGAGCATTGACTGACACCGTTGACAAAGGTTCACCACGGATACGGTACCAAAATATGGACGAAAGCTCTACAGAGTGTACTATACAACATACCACAAAAGCACGAATGCGGAACCAGTTCTTTTTGTTGGCGACATATGGCTCGATCGGCTTTTACTGCCTTGCTGTCGGTATTTTGATCATATATCATGCCCTGGCCCCTGTTTTCCCAGCACAGATACCCCTTTTCCCCGCAACACAAAAGCATTTAGTTCTTTCCTTTGACACCAGGCATTCGGCATACTTCATGGCGTCTTAGCCGGTCACTTAGTAAGGGTTCATTTGGGCATGAATAGTATGGGGCATGTATGAATTCTAGCTAGCTATTGTGCTCACTTCAATAACAACGTGAGTCTTCAAATGTGGTGCCCTGTAATTTATGGCTGTGACATAAACATCATAGTGCAAATACCATGATATGCCAAAAACCACCGCATCAGGGCAATTATCTGGCAAGATTATAGTAAGAATGTCTTGTCTTAGGGCTCTAATCTGAGTCATATTTTTCAAGCTGAGCATCGAATTACCTTGACACGTTGTCGTGGATTCAGTAGTATTTCGTGGCTCGCATGAGACTAGCCTCGCTCAGGAGTTGCTTGATTTTGTTTGACCTTCTTTTTCATTGACATGTTTACGTCTCTTAGGATATACATGTTGCTCAACTTAACAGAAGCTGCCACAAGGCATCTCTTTCCACAAAATCATGATGAATCACGTTGACCAGCCAATAATCATCCTTGATGCCGCTCAAAAGTTTCTCACTCTCAGAACCCCGACCGTAAACCTTGGCCCATTCACCCCAGATTCCAAAAGCCTCCTCGCTCCAAGCTCGGAAACTAACCTCCTCAATAATAGTAGGCGTGATGATCTCCTTTCCGGGGAACACACCCCATGTCACGGCATTTGTAGACGGACCGGCTTCCGTCGAACCGTTCACGTGATCGCTGCTGTCCGATGAGAGATAATCTCCGCGTGCATTGCTGGCGTAGAAGCATACAGAGTCTTGCAGCTCCGGCGACGTAAGCCTAGCCTTGAGAGTGTCCCATTCGTTGGCGGGGATGAAGAATTCGACGAACGACTTCTGAAAGACAAAGCCGTTGGGTGGACCCCAGCCAAAGGTGCCGTCGCTGGATCGCAAGCCGTTGACGGCAGGCTGGGAGGCGACAGTCCACCAGCCCTTGCGGTTAAGTTGCAGGAGGTTAGGTTGAATGGTTGAACTCTCAGCCCGAAGCTCCTCCTCACTCCAAGGGATGGCGGAGAGCTCTCCCTGAATATGCTTGACGAACAGGTCGTTGATATCCTGCCGTGTCTTGGGGTAACCCCAAAGCTTGACAGCCTGTGTTACAGACATATGGAGGCTTACGCCGTATCCGTCAATCTCACCATAGGCGGGGGATCGGGCGTCACCAAAACGACCGTTGGGAAAATCATCCCACGTCGCCTCGCGCCCCAAAACGCCTTCGCCCTCCGAAATGGCGAGAGTGTTTGCACGGGTATTGATTGCTTCGGCACGCACACCGGCCTCCTGTCCAGTAGCCTCCCACTCGGGATATATCGCTGGCCTATCACCAACAATCACACGGTTGTGGGGGTCTGAGGCAACAGAAGAATGTCTTCTTGACTGCCGGGAGCGGGAGTGGCTGCTAGAACGCATGTTGGCGCTGCCATTGATCTGTAGCGAGGGAATGGCAAGTTCGTCCACTGCGATGGCTTCTTCGTTCTCTGGAGGGTCAGGGATGAGATTCGCCCGCTCCAGAATGAAAGATACGGCCTTCTCCAGGTTGAGCGTGTAAAAGTGGAAGCCTTTTGGACCTGGTGTCTTGGACTTGATGTCCTTGATTTTGTCTACCAATTCACTGACGATATCCACCCCGACCATCTTTACCCGTTCATCATCACCTTTGACAGCGTCGAGGCGTGAGAGGAGATGGTCTGGAATTTTGGCATGGCTCAGCTTGGTCGTGCGCTTGATCATCTGGTAGCTCTGGATTGGCATGAGTCCTGGAATGATGGGAATGCCCTTGAAGGCGCCGCTGGGGTGTTCCCTTAATGTGGTCTCGAAGTGATCGTATGCTTCGATGTCGAAGAAAAGCTGGGTTTGGATGAAGTCGGCACCAGCCTGCACTTTTTGCACGAGGTAAGGGAGATCATGCTCCAAGCTTTGTCCGAGAGGATGGCTCTCTTCGGCATGTCCCTCGGGGTAGGCAGCAACACCAATACAGAAGTAGTCTCCATGTGTCTTGCGGATATATCTGACCAGATCAATAGCCCAGTTGAAGTCCTGGCCTCCATCATCTTCTGAATCTTCTGGGTCGCGGTATTCTTCTCTTCGTGGGGGATCACCTCGGAGGGCCAAAATATTCCTGATTCCCAGTGCCTTCGCGTCTGAAAGCGCCTCGTCGATCAATTTCTTGCTCATATTGGTGCATGTTAGGTGCAGGCAAGTTGTAAGCCCGACCTCTCTCTGACACAGCTCGGCCAATTCAAGCGATTTTTGGGATGTACTGCCGCCCGCACCCCAGGTGACATTCACAAAAAGTGGTCGGAGGGCACGCTCCATTCGGTGAAGACGGTCTCGCAAGTTGGAGAAGCCCATGGCGGTCTTGGGCGGGAAGAATTCGAGAGAGAAGTATGTGCCATCAGCTGGCAGAGCAGCGATGCGATCCGTGATCTTGTCCATTGCGACGGACGGTGGGAGTTATCTTGATGGTCTAATGATTCGTGTTTATTCGTTGTCTGTGAAATGAAAAAGTTGTAGACTCGAAGTTGGACGGATATCGTCGGGGGGTACTCGAACTATCAAATCGTCGATGATTGATTGAATAGAAGGTGAGGAGAGATGCGATACCGGAAAGCACAGTTAGCTCAAAGCTGGCTTGTCGCTCTCTCTTAACGATTAAGAGCTATCGTCCTCAGAAGAAGAGGGGAGTGGCTCTCGACTCAAGGAGATAACTCGGAATGAGACGAGTCGAGTCGAGTCGAAGGCATCGGGTTCCCTTTTCTTTATCCAATTCTAGATCGTGGAGGGGACGAGTTTTGTGGCGGGGCATCCATACATAACAACATACGAAGTTAGCGGGGTACATCATTTTACACACTGAATTGTTAGCAGCCTTCAGGGACCGTTCTCGGGTTGGCCACTAGACGTTAGCAGCCATGACGCACCCGACGGTACATGGAGACGGCTATCGTGTAAGTGGTGACCTATGTACCAATGTGGCCCGAGCTTTAAATTTCAACCACCTCACTATCGCTTGCAGAACATAACACTGAGCTTCAAGTCTCAAGTATAAACGTCCCATCTACACCCAATTCGACCCAATTGATGCGATTCTGGATCGTATCATGCCTGCGTACCAATGCCACTGCTGCACCAAAGGCTCATGAGCTGCGCCACGGCTCGGCGTGCTTTGTCTAGCCTCTCCTGCAGCTCAATTCGACATCCGATAATCGCCCACACTAAAACTACGACTCTTGGAGCGACCTCACGACGGTTCTACGCTATCGACCTTATTTCAATAGACGAAAAATGGCGCCAGAGGTGGAGGGAGTCTCATGAGACTTCTCCTAAGGTCTCCGAAAAGGGGACAGATGGCCAAGATAAGCATTATGTGCTGCCAATGTTTCCATATCCCTCGGGCACCCTCCATTTGGGTCACTTGCGAGTATACTCCATTGCCGATGTCGTCGCTCGATTCCGAACACTAAGGGGCGAAAAAGTCATGTTGCCTATGGGGTGGGATGCCTTCGGTCTACCAGCTGAGAACGCTGCAATTGAACGAGGAGTTGCCCCAGAAAAATGGACAAGAAGTAACATGGCCAAGATGAAGGAGCAGTTGGAACTCATGAATGGGAGTTGGGATTGGGATCGTGTAGGGTCTGTCCCACGTAGATCATTATTGCTGTTCTAATCTACCTTTTAGGAGTTGTCAACTTGTGATCCCGGATTCTACAAACACACACAGAAGCTATTCCTCATGTTGCACGAGAGAGGTCTTGCCTACCAAGCCGAAGCTGAGGTCAACTGGGACCCTGTGGACAAAACAGTTCTTGCAAACGAGCAGGTTGATGCTAATGGCAACTCGTGGAGGTCCGGTGTCAAGGTCGAGAAGCGCAAACTCAGGCAGTGGTTTTTCCGCATCTCTGAGTTCCGTGAAGCCCTTCTCGAGGAGCTTGAGGCACTCGCAAAGGAAAATGCTTGGCCGGAGAGAGTCTTGGCTCAGCAGAAGAATTGGCTGGGCAAATCAACCGGAGCTTCAGTCAAATTCCCCGTTCTAGCCATGGGCCACGATATTCACGCAGCGATCGAAGTATTCACCACTCGGCCTGATACACTCTTTGGCGTTCAGTATGTGGCTCTTGCTGCTAGTCATCCGATCGTAGCTAAGCTCGCTGCTTCGGATCCTGAGCTACAGGCTTTCATTGACACCATCCCTGGTCTACCTGCGGATTCCAAGGTCGGCTATTTGTTGCCTCACCTGCGGGCTATTAACCCACTTGCGTATCATGAGGAGACTCCCGATGCCACCAAGGTCTCGTTGCCTGTTTATGTTGCACCATATGTCTTGGGTGATTATGGTGAAGGCGCTGTTATGGGTGTTCCTGGCCACGATCTGCGTGACAATGCGTTCTGGAAGGAACATCACTACGATGTGCCAGTCCGACATGTTCTCTCTGCATCAGAGGATGAGTCAACAACAGCTATGAAGAACGAGCCTTTTGTCGAGCATGGCGTTATGACCGAACATAGTGGTTCCTTCAAGGGCAAGACTTCAGTGGCTGCTGGTGAAGAAATTGTCAAGCTGCTTGAGAAGGCTGATCTTGCAAAGCGTGTCGAGAAGTGGCGTCTCCGAGACTGGTTGATCAGCCGACAACGGTACTGGGGCACTCCTATTCCCATCATTCACTGCGACTCCTGCGGCCCGATTCCTGTGCCAGACGAACAACTTCCTGTAAAGCTTCCTGATGTGGACTGGGCAGAGTCGCGCAATGGAAGTCCTTTGGAGTCGTCTCCTGAATTTGTCAATACCACTTGTCCCAAGTGTAACGGCCCCGCTCGACGAGATACAGACACCATGGATACATTCGTTGACTCGAGCTGGTACTATGCTCGGTTTGCTGATCCCCATAACCAGGAACAGCTATTTTCTCCTGAAGCTGGCAGAACACTTCCCGTCGATACCTATATCGGTGGTATCGAGCATGCGATTCTCCATCTTCTTTATTCCCGCTTCATCTTCAAGTTTTTGGCGTCAACCTCTCTGCTTCCTCAATACAGTGAGGAAACCTACAAGTCTGCGGAGCCTTTTAAGCGCCTCATCACTCAGGGCATGGTCCATGGCAGAACATACATCAACCCTGACAACGGACGCTTCCTCAAGCCCGATGAAGTTGACCTGACTGACCCCAATCAGCCCAAGGTGGTATCATCTGGAAAAACGGCCGATGTCTCTTTCGAGAAGATGTCAAAGTCAAAATACAACGGGGTGGACCCCTCAGAGTTCATCTCCAAATACGGTGCTGATGCTACTCGCGCCCACATGTTGTTCCAAGCCCCTGTTGGTGACGTGCTCAACTGGGACGAGGCTAAGATTTCAGGAGTCACCCGTTGGCTTCAGCGACTCTACGATCAGATTGTAGCCATCGCTTCAGAAACCTCTGGTCAAACAACTACCGCCCGAGAATATCTTGTTGAGAAACACAAGAGTCTCGGTTCTGCGTCCGCGGAAGAGCTTAAGCAGTGGGATGCTGAAGGAGCCATTTGGCGCCATCTCCAACGAACCATTGCATCAATCACTACGTCTTATGAGGAAGTATATTCCCTCAATACTGTGGTATCAGATCTTATGATCCTGACCAATACGTTGGCTGAAAATGATGCTGCCAGCCCGATTGTCAAGCATGAAGCAGCTCGTGCTCTTATTTCTATGATGGCACCCATCACGCCCGGATTTGCCGAGGAATGCTGGGCCCTTCTTCGTCCCTCCGCATCCTCAATCTTTTCGTCCACCAGCTTCCCTGTGCCTGACAACTCCCTGGCCGAGCTCGTTCGCCCGCGAATACAGCCTTGCGCCGTACAGGTCAATGGCAAGGTGCGTGGTGTGGTCGATATCCCCGCCCCTCCAGCTGAGCTGTCTGGTGATGAGCTTCGGGACTGGATGGTTAAGGAGATTCTTGCTACCAAGGAGGGTGCTGCGCGGTTTTCTGAAGGGACATACGATTTGCGCGCCGCTAAGAGAGCGATTCCTGTAAGAGGAGGCAAGACGATCAATTTTGTTTTAAAATAGACGCCATGATGTGGTCAAGCCGATTGTACGATATCTGTAAAATAGAGACAAAATAGACAGTGATAGACATTTGATGCTTTGCAGTTCTCTTGAGATCGAGCTATCATTATGCGAAGTGAAGTTGATATATACAGACTATGCGGGTTGTCCGAGCCTGATAGAATCACAAGAGAATGTCATTCACGTTCACATACTCAACAAAAATGCAATACTAACGAAGTTGTATGCCACGAAGGTCGTGATGGAATAGATACATTCTATACCGGCAATATCTATGCTTTATATATTTACGGCATTCCCAAAATTCTCAGTGAACTAGGACAACGTGGCCGAGTGGTTAAGGCGATGCCCTGCTATCTCTTCGAGACATCATAGGCATTGTGTTCGCACGCGTAGGTTCGAATCCTGCCGTTGTCGATTCTTTTTGCATTTATTTCGTATCATTCTGGTCTGTTTGCTTCGCAGAAATAAATTGCGCATTTTCGCGATGTTGTGTGTGGTGTCGCGACGTTGTGGTTGTACTGCCTCCTCCACACGTCTTGCTCGCCTGAGCTGAAGTACTAATAATTCAGATATTAGTCCGTCCTTCTTACATTTATTTCTTATTCCATAATAATCTTCCTATTTCAGTATTCAGTCTGTATTTGTGTATTTCTTCTATTTCAAGTCTGCGGAGGCGGAAGAATGCTGGTCTCACATTTCCTGACGAGTAGAAAACCGGCCAGCGCAGCTGAGTAAAGCATCACTATGGTCAGAAGAGAACTTGCAAATTGTAAACGCTAAGCTTGATAACTTCCCCCTTTTTAAGTTGTGCAGCGTGTTGGCCAGGTTGTTCCACCAGCCGAGCAGCAAGAATCGGATTACTGGCGGACATACAAACCCACGGGGCATAGAGAATACCAGACATGATCAGAAGACCTGAGAAGACTTGAATTGAATGATTGGAGCGCAGCCGCATTGGTCGATATATACGAACATGGAAATGTCATGCGGCATGGTCAGCATAAGCTCAGCTTCAGGCAAAAAACCAATAGCTCCTATTTCAGCTGTGACATTACTCAATACACTGAATGCATTGAATCTTTTCACACCACTACAACAGCCCAGATATGTTGCAGGACCAGTTTAGATATCCAAGATCAATGCCAGGGGAGTCAGATCAAGGGGTCACACCAATATGGGGGAGGTTGACTTGAAAGCTACTATTGGCTTGTGGCCATGCTGACATTATTGAGCCCGATGCTAAATCCCAGCTGAGTCTTCTCCAGCTGTCCCAATGCAGCCACCATATCGTATGCCTTGAACAATGATATCTATCTGCTGTTTGATGGGCCATATGACCCGACGACGCAGAAAATGTATTGCTTATGGTCCCTATTCTATCATGCAATGC